TCCCTATAGTCCATGTTAAACTACTTATGTGTACAGCATCGCACGTTTTACATTCCATGCCTTATTTTGGCGTTTCTTTTTATAGTAAAATATCTATAGCTACACGGTGGCGCTTGTTAGAGTAAAAAAAAAAACTTCCCCACCATTCACTTGACATCAAATACAAATAATTCTAGTAAGAAAGAACAGACTTTTGGGAATAATTGTTAACATCAGTTTATGGTTAACAGGACTGTTTAAACACATCCAGAAATGATGGACTAGTTTCCGATTGGGGATGATGTATTTCTTTTATATCGAGCTAAATGTGTACAGGAAAGTTAAAAGCAACAGACAAAAAAACAAATCCTTGAATTTCACATACTGATGTAATCAATAATACTGAATTTAGTAATTATCTTCCAATAATAGATCCAGCCGAAATTGAAATTATACTACAACATCTTCTTCTACAGTGTTGTCTCGAATATAATACTACGCGTCATCTTTATACTAGACTAAAATTATGGTTTTAATTTTACTGTGAATTTTACAGTAATATTCCACTCTCTACTTATTTAGGGGTGTACATTTCCGAGCGTATTAACCATGTCCGGGCCTGAAGTGCATACACAGATTTCATTGGGACTGTCTTCTATTTAACTAGGGTTTTATAAAGAATGACTAGTCGAAGTATTCAAAAGCTTTTTTGCAGATACGAGTTAAATGTTAAATGCTGTAATACTGTTACAAAAGTGACGTCAAAGTAATTTTTCTGATGAAAACGTTGGGTTTCATACAGAAACTCAGAATGATGTATGCAGGATATGACATATTTGCTCATTAAATTCAAAACGTGTCATTACTTGTTGTATACATTGTGGCCCATGTACTTTTCAGTTGATTTTTTGTCAACTCTTGTCAGTCATCGGACTTGCAATAATGGATCTGCAGTTGGGCATGTTATTTACATTTGGTGACAATCCCACAGAAGACGTATCTGCATTAGCAAAACTAGACTCTGACTTGATCAATTTCGAATATACTTGCTACATTTTCAACAGAAATAGATTTCCTCAAATATGAAGCTAGCACCGACAAGCACTTTCCACAGTTGCAAATGTTAAAGGTCAGTGTGGGTCGCAGCACTGCCTAAAATAATCATTTACTGTCAAGCTGAATTAGTTCTTCAGGGCAAGTAAATTGAACCAGTCATCTCTCTACACAGTTCATCCAAGAGAAACCGACCCTCGTGTTCAAGCTACATACTTCTGGGAACTTTTCGATGTGCCACAATTGAATCACCATTGATCATGTGCTGGCAGCAAGCTTCTGGAATAGAATAAGCCTTATGCAGCAGAGCAGAGAATATATTATCACCGGACAATGATTAGCTTAGGACTATGAGCAAATGTTTGACCATTGTTATAACATAGTTTTTATACATGTTATATTGTGTGTAATGGAATACTTGTAACTTCCTCACTATTATAGATTATGTTTTACTGCACTTAGTACATTATGAAATCGTATTCAGAGAGCACTGTGTCCAAGACTATGAGTGCCCGTTTCCATAGTAATTCAAATACAATTTACTGTTGGACATGCTATGCGACTGCCTTCATAACTATAACCTGTCCTTTCATACATTCGACATAATGGTTGGACTAGTATTATACAAATTACACGCAGTATTAGGTTGCTGCATTCACTCTAACAACTTTTAATATATCAATTGTTAATAGCCTGTACAGATGCAAATGTGAATTGCGAATGGTGGGCCAGTCAGGGCTACTGTATTGGGACACACTCGGCATATATGAATGCTGTGAACAGTGTAATGGGAATAGTCCGCACCCTAAAGGTAAACTATTATTTGTTGATGTTTTTTAAAGGAAAACCACCAGAAAATGTATACAACTATTTATCACAAAACCTAACACTCAATGGTCTAACTACAATGTTAATTGTGTTCTCAGGTAGTGCATGTTACGACTATGACACTCGCTGCAGTTTCTGGCAGAGTATTGGAAAATGTATTCGAAACCCAGCGTACATGCTACAGAACTGTCAAGCAAGTTGTGAAGTGTGTTAAACAACCTACGACTATTCCATCATAGTTCATGGGATTCTATGATATTGTCAGTGTTATGCATCTATGTTCACTAAATTAAAGAGCTGATCTGATACGATAGTCTGTCCATGGATATTGTTCTCTTTCGCTTTTTATTGTTCACTATTTCGAAGTAGGCAAAACAATTTACGTGAATACGATTGTGTAGATGTGCACTTCCACCTCCATCATTTCGAAGGCTGGATCGATTTTCCGTTCAGAACACCACACTATACAAAAAAAACGTAATTTTAGTACGTAAATTGAGTCATCATGGAGTCAAACATTCAATGCATTGTTTACAAACAATGAAAATTGCGCCGTTCGCCGGTACAAACTATAGTTACGATATGTCATTTTTTTTTTTTTGACTTATCACACTTACGTTTGAGTAATTTCACACCCCATTTTGTGGAGGCGTTAGTATTCACTTCATTTTTCTTTGGTGCCAAGTTTTCGACCATTTCTTCAGAAAATTCTGGGAATCTTTGCCCTTTGGCAGACACCGGCATCTGTTGATCTGGCTCGTTATTACCACCGGCGTTCTGTTGCTCCCATTCAATTGTAGCTTGAAGAAGTTCTTCATCAGTAGCGTCAATTTCATCCAGCTAGTACCATTTGAAATTGAGATCAAAAATTGAACCGAGGCTCGTCGTCTGACATAATTACTATGTTCTGAAAATGCCGCTAGTGACTTGCAGACGACAATATTTATCATATTTCAATCAGTTTATTCCATTTTTTGTTTTATTAATTATTCATCAAACAGGGCCCGAGTCATATATTGCCAGATATAAACCCTGGCTTCAGCCAATCAGATGGCTAGATTCACACTGGTCATATTATAAGATGGAATAAAATCTGGTTTCAAAGAAGTCCAACGGCCGAATTAACCATGTCTTTAATATGTCTTTACGTCAAAATGTGTTGACTCTCGTAATGTTCAACCATTAAACTTACGCACGCATTTGTTGTGATCCTCCTAATAAGAACTCTCGGGTGATTAGACTCGGCGCAAATCATCCATATATTGGTATGTAATTTCAATCAGCTGGCCACGTGTTCCTGGACTGTCCTTCAATATAATAATGTGAAGGTGGACAGTTTTCTCTGATAGACAACAATTAATAACATCCATCACATTTTCCAAACGCATGGTGGATTTATCATCGCGCTAAAGACTTCCACCGTGACGTACCTACTCGCTACGTTGTCACTGTATATGTATGTACACGTTTATTGGTACTACTACGCCCAGGGTATTGTGTACTGGTAATTCCGCCTGCTTAGAGGGTCGATTAGATCAGTTTATTGCCCAAAGATGCATGTCGAGATGTTATCTCCTTACATGCATGTTGATTGGTGCATGCTACATGATTAGCAATACCTAACGGAATCTAAATGTAACTGAAGTATATTCCTCTCGGAGAGCATCATCTAATCCAACGGTTCTGTGTAAAATGTCAAGATAACAAAAAATAGCAATTGTTCCTACTTAGCTTTGCCTCGGTCTATTTAAATTTAACATAACCTCCAATTGTTAAATGTTATTTGAGCTAATGTTTTCACCCGAGGAGATGGGTTACTCGCATGAGATCCCATGCGTCTCCCAAAACACTTTCCTGGGAAACGGTCTAACTGGTTCGATTTGAATATCTGCAAGAGTTGCACTGCTTTCACAATTCTACTACAAGGCAAGATGACACTAGGAAATTTGATCCATCTGCAGTCTCTACGTTCGCCAGGTTTGCCCAGTATAATGTACATTTTTAAAATGGAAAAAATGTATTCTACTAATTTTTAATTTTATGTATTTTAAAACTTGACGTACCCAATGTAACTTATGCAGGGAACTTGCTGGTCAGCATGTACACCCGAGTGGATTATAATAAACTTGTATCTAGTTTATCGTATAGGGTCGAGTTAGATACGAAATGCGTCTCTTCTGTTTTAGCTGGTCGCCTCCAACGGAAGTCGCTTGTATTGTAGTCGGTTGAAGTGCCAACATCTATTGTCGCCGTCACTGAACTCTCCATGATATCTGTCTACGCTTTCCTAGTTTGACGTATGGCCAGTCTTCTCGTTCTTTGTCAGTTTACTGGGCATGTCCATAAACTGATGTATTCCATCTAAGTAAAAAAAGATTCCAAATTAAAATTGAGGTACTCTTTTAACATTCTAAACAGTGAACTATAACGATCAATTAAATGGAGAAATAAAAAATGATGCGAATCAATTCGTAAATCAGTTACTAAATGCGAGACCAAATTAACATCCTCTGAAAACTGGTGTACGCGTTGGGTCACAACAAGAGCAAGTGCGTGAATGGCGGAGTTTTGATTGGATAACTAAAATAATTGAGAGCAACAATTCAGTGTTATTCGTGTAAGCGTGATTGTCCTAATTTCGACTTCACATTAAAAATTACTTTGTCGCAACATAATGACAGCCCACTTATTACGCAGTTCGAATTGCAAGAAAAGATAACAGAAATGTGAAGTCGTCATTCAACACCGATCATCAGTCTATTCACCAACTTTTAGACGACGAAATTGAAAACAATTACTAGCCAATGAGTGCTGCGTAATTTCCTGTTTGACCTGAGCTTTGTGTTTAGTCATTGTTACCGCTTTCATAGCTCAAACTATATGGTCTCTTGAGACGTTATTCAGATCCCCGAAACACTTGCCCGAAAGCCGACGCCATGGATATAGGCGGGTTCGGAATCTGATTCTTTTAAAAGCGTTGGTACTGATCTAGGTTTTATTTTTCGGCACTTGTCTTTAAATCCAAGTTGTACTTTCATAAATGAGGTATTGTTACCATAACATGTACGCACATTTGGTTCACATGCCTTGGCAGTATTGTTTGAAATCAACAACTTTAGAGTAGACATTATGAACATATTATAGGAATTTGATAAATAAATGGTTTATAGCATGTCTAGGTCGCGTGAGTTGCGCCCTCAACGGTGATCCAAACCCCAACACTCGCTTGACCACAGTCCCTCTATCCATGGAGGAAATGAGAATCCATGCTCTATCATAGAGGGACTGTGGCCTGACAGAAAGATGTAGTTTTTCACTTGCCCTGACGAGTTTTTTGGTCGGTACCAATTAAATTGCAGGAACGTGAGATAGTGACAGCCATCAAAGAGTAACCATTCACGGCAGAGTTTTTTTGTGGACATGTGTGATAAAGTGCTGGCAAACCAAAATGAATATTCATTGAAAGTGGGCGTGAACTTTGCGAGACACTATTCTGTCAGGTGTTAGTGACGTCTGATGCCCATCGGCCGGCGATGGCGCTACTCGCGCCTGCATGTCAGGCTAGATTGTTTACTACAATGTCATTGTTTTTAGTAGTTGCGACATTGCAAGTCTTTAACCGTGGGACACAACCATGGTAATCACGTGATCGTGCTAACGACTGCGACTGATTGGCTGGTCGCTTGTCGCCACAACTTGGAGTTTGTAAGATAAAGGTGAGAAATGGGCAGCCAAGGGTTGTCTCAGCTGACCCTTTGGATGAATAAAGTTCGACCGGCTTATTTCATAATTTGGTGGCGCACTCTTACTTTAGCAAGAGTCGGAAAGCCAGAAAAAGTCTACTGTTTCAGAATAGGTCGGCGTCGCTACAAACACGAGTAATATCTCAAATTAACTCGCATACGAGGAATCATTTTCAACAACAATAATCAATAACTGTCTTTCATTGGAACACAAATCCAAAACTGAAATGTGATGGTGGGCATTTCACAGGCTCTTTAAGTACTCGTCGATTGTCGATGTGCATTACTGATCGGTTAACACTCAGTGGGAAAATTGTAGTCAATCTTGACACGAGTCGTGTTTTATAAGGTTATCGACAAGAAGTTCGAGCTGCATTATATGTAGCGAGAGTAAAACAAAGTTTTTCTGCCCGTAGTTACTTTATTTTTTGTCTGGTTTGTGATGTGTGTTAATATACTAGTATTCTGTTCGGTGTATTTAGTTTTCTACGCAATTTGACGTAATTTCAAAAAATCACTGTACTGCCAAGGCTTCATTTTTAGGCTAGTTTTATTTTAGCCTGTATAGCTAATAGATAAAGTAACTGCTATTCAATAGTTGCGTTCACGCACAGCTCCTTAGCACGGGCTAAGAGGTTAAATTCCTTAGCCCGTGCTAAGAAAACGTGCGTGAACGCTTAGCACGGGCTAAGGAATGCTAAGTACGGGTTAAATCTGATCCGAATTTAAGACGCGGTGTAGACCTTAGCACGGGCTAACCAAGTATGCGCGAACGCTTAGCCTAGGGCTAAGCGCCCTCGGCGGCGACCTTTGGGTATAAAAATTGTCCCATGTTCGTATAACGACACTATTCCACCAGTCATTACTCCGCGCTCGCTTCCACACTAATCGGGTCGCTGTAGTAGAGCGTACAGCAGCTCCAATCGTAGACAACATAAATTTGGTTCACTGTCTACGACATGCATTAATAAAACTCTGTATTCTGTTACGCCCGTTATATACTGTTTATGTGCATCCAAATAAGTTGGGTCCGTCTCCTCTCGTGTTCCTGTGCACGTCGCTTCAAAATTAGAACGAAACCCGGGAACGAAACATGCCAGCAGCAGAAATAGAACCTTGCGCGTTTCATCCGTTTTTCGTTCGTAAATAGCGGCTTACCAAAGGTCACCGACTAATGGCACCCCTTAGCCCGTGCTAACGACTGGCCCTCCCTGTGCGTGGACGCAATTGGGTTTAGCCGAAATGCAAATATGCTAGATAAGCCTAAATCAGCTTAAATCTTAGCCCGTACTTCGTGTAACGTGAACACAACTAATATTGAGCCTAATATTTTCTTCACAAAGCAGTGGATTTAAAACATGGTTATTTTTTCTGCAACATCAAATTCAATAAAACCCAAGCTAGTGATTATGTTGCATCGCCTGTTGCATTACACATGTTAACTAACTAGCAATAGTTGAATGTAAAATGGCGACGAATTTCATTGACGAGACGCA